ATCATCATTTTTTTCAAAATGTACAGTATCTCTGTTGAATAGATTTGGGTCGCTTTAAGGTACATATCAAGATGCATGTTTGAGTACGTCGATTTGGTGATGCATTGTTTGGGTGAGGACAAAGGCGCCAAGGAGAAGGTCGACAAATTCAAGCTTAATACGGCGCCCTGTTGCTGCTGTTGTCCGTGCATACCGCATTTGGAACCAACAACGTAAGCTAAGCGTTTCCGCTTGAAGTTGTTGAGCACTAAATCACGGCCATATTTGGCAGGCGAAATTTTAAAATCTTCCGCATGCTGGTATATCAAATCGCCTTTGTCAGACCATTGGTAACGTACATTAGCATGGTTTTATGGGTCGATCGTTGGGGCGACTTTGACCCGGTACGAGCAACAACGTACGCTTAGTAGGCGGTACATATTTTTATTTTCCTTACAGAGTGCACCGTGGAAACCTTTTCTGAGCAGCATTGTGATTGCTTCCACTCTGCTTGCGATCTACGGCGTCAACGTCATTCACGAAGCGGCAAAGCATCATTTGTACAAATTTAAAATGCATGTTGCAATGGCATTTATGCAAATTATGCTTCTCATCTACAACGTGCAAGGTCCGCTGTTTGGACTTTGCGGCGGTCTTCTAAGCTGCGAAGAGCAGCTATTGCCTGACTATGCCAAAGCATCTCGTAAGTACAGATTTGGTCAGTCTCAGCTTTTTACCTTTCACTCAACTTATTTTGCAGTGTGGCATCACCTTCTCGTCGTGCTTGAATGCTTCATAATGTTGGCGTTGGCAATGTGGTTTTGTCGGCCATCCGTAAATGAGATGTTTGATCGTTATCATAGAGTAACACAGAGTGACGGAGGTAATTCTCAAAGCGACGCCCCGCAGGAAGCGGTCGTATGTTCCAGGCTTCAAAGGTTCGACGACGATGATACTCAGGTATTTTGCGCCACCGCACTGTAGAATTGCCACCGTACTCTATTTTATCACCGTCGTTTTAATGCTTTCTAAAGCAATTGTTAGTTGCCAAAGGGGTTTTTATGTGAATACAATAAAGCGAATTTCATTCGTGTGATCGTATGTCGCTTTGAAATTCATATATTCTATAGCTTATCTTAACTCTCAAAAGCAACGCTCTTCTAATTCCATTGATAAAGAGGCTGTGATTTTCAAAGACGCTTTCTTAGCATCCAAACGTTTTGCGCAGGAACTGTAATAGCTTCGTTTCACTCGAAACGCATTAATGTAGTACGCTTAGCATTCATTGCTTCTTGTACTATTGATAATAAACTGTTTCATTGACACATTCCGTCATCAGCACACAGCTATGAGTCCTTTCCAGGGCGACTGATAGGCACACCTGCGGTAGGCGCCTATCTACCAGTTGCATCGCCAGCGGTCCACTTGTCTGTCATCAATGATCTTTTACGCAGTATGTCTCATACATTCCTTGGCGACGAATTGAATAATGTGTAACGCCTCGACGCAACCAACAAAAGCCGCTACACTGAGTGGAATCGCCAAAAGCGAACAAACCGTCAACGCCGCTCCAATTCTATTGGATAGTGGCTGAGATAAAGGTGACACACGTCATCAAGGAGACGCTTTGATAAGCTGCAGACAGTTCAGCATATGCAAATCTCAGTTCGTAGTTGCTCTGACGTCACTTGAACACTAAGACTGAATGGCTCGCAACGTTAATAACGTCTTTTTCTCAGCCTTTAGTTCGACCATTAGTTTGCCAAAGTCACTGGTACCGTTCAGTTTGCTGTACACCGTTACCAATATGAAAGATGACTGTTGAACACTGAAGCTACGATGCCGCAACACTACGCATGCTGAACTCTGTAGAGAAGCTTTCGTTGCGTTGAAGGTCGAACAAGAAGGAAGCTTTGAAGGGGAAGAAGAGGAACAAAGAGAAGAAAGCAAGCAAATGACTGAGCAACATAAGCATTTTAACAAAGCTTTGCAAAGTGCCGCGGAAAAGAGAATACAAAAGAGTTAAATGTAGGAACAATATATAGGAAGGAGTAGGAACAATATAAAGGAAATGCAACGTGCCGCATTGTGAGTTTTAACGTTAGCGCTGTTGCCGCTGTGCTAACGACGTTCACTCTTATACTTTTTAAATTACGTAAAACAACTGTAATACCGATTACGCAGTTTTTAAAAATTTAAATAAGCGTCTAATGCAGCTGACCGCAACGGGCAAAGAATACTTAGTAAAGCTCGCAAACGTGGCCTACCTGACTTCTTCGCACGGACGATTGCTTCCACTACCTCTTCGCTTGTGCCTTTCGACAATAAACGCAGTCCGGGGGAACAACACTGCTGGTAAACAAATTTTAAATTACGGTATACAGTACTACTTAATGAGTTACATGTACGTCAATAAATTATTCAAATTGATGCAAAAATGCGCGCATCTATCCTAAAGAAGTCGTTAGTATTCATTTACATTTCATGACAGCTAACACTTCATGAGCTATTTCATCTTAAATGTTTTGACAGGTGGTCGTTTAAGCTGCAGAGTACGCAAGAAAAAAAAATCAAGATTTCGCAAACCTTGATTGAACCTATCAGTATTAACTGACCGGTTCAATTTGCTTATTAATGATGGCCGCACAGTGGGTTTGCTGCTTTGCGTACATCTGCTGCTGTATTTTCTTCGTGTGAATAAAACTGCATTAGTTTCCGTTGTAGAGACAATACTGAAAGCTCTGTAGCAATAAGCTAAACACTATTTCGGCTACGCAGACTAACAGCTTTGGCACTTTTTGAAACTGAGCTTTACAACCGTAGCAATCTTGAAATGAGAAACTAAAGTTGCATAGGAAAGCGCTTTGCTATGCTACTGATTTGTTTTTATTTGGAACGATCGCGAAAATCTCTTTTTTCTCAAAATAAAAGTTACTGCGTCATCTATTAGCTTCACTGTACCTGAACATCACTTTCATTATTTTGAATTACTGTAATCAGTGACGCCCACTTTTCGCAGCGTACGTTTCACCCGGCTAAGATCTGCTGTATTTTTTATCTGCACAGGTATTCAAAGGCTTCATACAGTTGATTTCTGTTTAGATTCGCCGATGGTCGAATGGTTCGAGCTTCCGAGAGCTCCTAACACAGGCAGACCCAGAGAACCCATCACGCTTCAATCCGGTAAGGGAATTTTACTTTCTGGTATTCGGTGGGACGCTGTTGCGCGTGCAGATAACTGTTAAGGTTAATGGGTGCAGTATTCACGCGAATAGAAAACGTCAGTCCAATCTATTGCTTGAGCTAATGGGAGTAATCATCAATATGTGTTAGCCATTGCGTGTACAGTATAAGGTAATGCTGTATCTTCTCCCTTCCTTTAATAGAACACGATTCAACGTTTCACTGTTTGCAATGAAGATAGCATTTGCAATTTGTACTTTCCAAAATTCCCGAAATATCGAATAGCGTTTCCAAGACGTGCAAATCAACGTTTCGTATTGTTCTGCTACTATTACCATCATATCAGCTTGCATATGCGTTCACGTTTAATGAGTCCATAGTATGGATAGGCCGTGCAGGTGCAAACATGTATTTCCAGACGAAGCTGTCGGGACAGACAATGTCGTCTCGTCAGCGTCACTTGTAATTGCGTAATTACTGACGCTGACGCTATAACATATGCTCATGAAGCCTTACACGCCCGTACAAAAAAGCTCTACCTTCAAGCTCACCACTGTCGCAATACAAAATAAACAAGAACGTCATAATTCAATAAAAGCATAGTAAAGCATATACATTTTTTATAAGAGTTCCTCCAATGTTCATTTATGTTTTCCAGGAAATGCACAACTACTAATTATGCTAATTATTTGCAATTGTTGTAAAGCACTGCTTATCGCGTCATCGCGGACGTGCACGAGCGAATATTCAAATGATCTATTGTTATCCTGATCCATTCTAATACCGTTTTCTAATGCTCTCTTTTATCTATTATTCAAGTGTAATCTAATCATTTGCTCCTGATGAGGAAGAGGAAAACATGGACGTTTAAAATTTCTATGAAATCTCATGGTGAAGTCCTTGTAACATGTGAATCTGTTTTCTGACGTGGGATATGCCAAGAATTGAGCGCGGCATGAAGAGGCGGGAATACTCACTACTATACTACCGAGAAGGCGTAGACAAATTGAGTCCAATCAGCCAATCGAATGTGCAGCAGGCAAAATCGAGGTGTTCAAAGTCACCTATTGGTAACAGGCCATAACTGGTAGACAAATCTTCATGATGATCTTTTCCCATTGGCTCATTCATATTTAGTGAATAGAAGTCATTCAATCGTCCTCGGTAGTATAGTGGATAGTATACCCGCAGTCACGCGGGAGACCCGGGTTCGATCCCCGGCCGGGGAGAATTTTAACTCTTTTCTCCATTGACAAAGGTAACTCCCCTATTTTCATAGGAGACAATTCTAATTGTCTCTTGTTTTAAATCTTCACGTTTTACGACGACTATATATTGATCTTCTTCACCATTCAGTTCTGTCTTCAATCTGTCATCGTTTTAAGTTACGGTTAAAACTTGGCTGCAGCGTACATCTTAAGCATTTTAATGCCATCCATTCATACTGAGTAATTGCTCTCAGCGTGAATGCTCAACTGCTGAAATCCATTGTTGATATTCAATTCATGAATGTCTGATCAATGAACATCTTTACCAAAGACTATTTGTAGCTGATCGCTATCGTTTGAGCAAATTTAGCTCCTTTGCGTAAGTTCAAATAATGCCGTCAAGATGAAAATAGCGGACAAAGAATACTCAGCTAACTTGATGGGTTCATGCAAATTTTATAATAAACTTTGTACGCAACAGTCCATTGATGAATGAAATCAAATTCATTCTTTTTTCTTATTTTGAGCACTAAGCTTCTGAATGAATGAACATGGCGTACGTTCATTCTGAAGAGTGTCGACCATTTTACCTATATCTCATTATGGGAACGTGGAGCATAAATGATCTATTGTCCTTGCGTGGGCTCGAACCAGGGACCTTCTGCGTGTAAAGCAGATGTGATAACCACTACACTACAAGGACGAGGTGTACTTCAAATATTCGATGAATGAAAAGAGCTATCATGTTACTCAAATTTTCATTCACAAAGTTCATTCACTCTACATCGTCCTTGTAGTGTAGTGGTTATCACGTCTGCTTTACACGCAGAAGGTCCCTGGTTCGATCCCAGGCAAGGACAGTTTGGGTCATTTTTCCTTTCTTTTAATCTTCATTAACAAAATATGCAAATATTCGTATCTGTATGGAGACAGCAGCGTAATATTCATTGAACCTTTTCTATTTGATAATGTTTTGGAGCGAACAAAGCAGACGTTTTGATTTTCCACCGCGTAATAATGAATGAAACTTTACCTGAAGGAGTAAAAAGCAATGCTGAAAAAAGTGCAGTCTGATAACAAGAATATATGGCTCATATGCAAAACGGTCACGGTAATTATTATCACTCTACGGTGAGTTGGAATATTCAAGATAACAGCGACTAGTAGCTTTCATTCATTTTGCTTTTCTTCCAGCTCTCGTCTTCATTAATGACGTTCTGACTACGTGATTCTGATAGACTGCCTATCGCATTATTTGAACAACAGGTTCTTCTTTACCGTATGACATGGTACTTGCATATCATAAAGTTCTCAAATCGTCCTTGAGAGATTTTTCCGCTAAACGCTTGTAGCTCTGAACATGAAGTCACATGAGCGTGTGTACGTCGTCTTACGCTTTGCCGTAATAGTATGAATAGGTGGGTTTAATGAAATTTTTGTTACGCAAATTAATAATCTGACCTTTTTGAGCACTGTTACGCGTGGCAGCGCCTTCTCTGCTTCTCGAACCGAGTCGAGCATACTTTTCGAAATTTGCATTTCCTGAACCGCACCTTCCAACCGTTCTTTGAGCAACGTCCCCATGATGTCCAATTAGCCCAATTTCCTTCAACTCTTTGAGGTCGACTAGTCGTACGCGCTTTACTCACTTGGACTTTAGCTGACAATGGTTAATTTCCCGCCAATAGTTGATTACGATAAAGTTCATTCACTTACTTTTGTGACCGTGTACAGGTCGTGTAGGTGGTCGATTGACTGGTCGCAATTGAGGACAGTCGTCAATGGTCGCTACTAGTGACCTCTTGTTTGAACATTGGAATCTCTGCAATGAATGAAATGGGACTGTCGATCAATGAAGTGACGTCATTCATTCTTACCATGCATTTACCGCGCACGCAATGTCCTCCGCCATTGCACGGCGTTCCGTCAGGGAAATTTCCAATGGCGTGTGCGTAGTCGCTATTGCGCACGTGACACCAAATTTTACAAGAATGTTCACTGTCTAAACAGTTAACATAGTCATGAATGAATTGTCCGATTTAATTAATACACTTTTCTCTCAGGTGACACAGATATAAAAAAAGATGCGGTCCCACTGGGATGAGATGGAGAGACGTGAGCAACAGACGTATTAATTTAATTAAAATATTATTATGTATTTTTAAAATAAATGTCCACTCTATTTTAATATGCGTGCATGCTTGCTTACGTTGGAGACCGACGCCGGAGAGAATTGTGCGAAAGGTGACTTGCCATTTGGCGCATGTCGCAGTTGCGTATTCATCTGGAGAATAACCTGAGCAGACCTTCAAATTGCTTTGGTCATTTGGAGAGCACTAATGATTGGACAATGGCTAACAGCATCACTGCAGACGGTGGCGCGATACTCAGAGCCAACGCATTCCTTTCCACCATTATTGGCTCTACAGAATGAGAAGTGTAAGGAAGAGAAAGGAACAGAGTATAACATACGGAGGATTGGTGCACAGTCGTTGGGATAGTCGAACCCGTAATTGGCGCTCTATTTTGCAAGGTGAACATTGTTCGTCCACTTGTTCTTCCCACTGGGCCCAATTTCCATTCACCGGTACGGGCATTGAACCGCCTTTCCACACTTGACATGTTCCTTCCAAGCACCACTGCAGAAAAGAAGCAACTGCCATAGAGTTATAAAGAAGTCAGCGAACTTTCATGTAGCCGCAATAGGTTCCCTCCAAAGCTGGGTGAGAGTTGCGTATAATACCTTCGCCAGCGCTGCACCACACCATTTTGCATACATCACCGGGAGATTGCCCTGACTGGAGCATATGGTTCCATGCTTTTCCATGAACCAACTTGCATTGCTGATCAACCGTATACATCTGACCAGGCAATTTGTCAATAGCCGTCTCCAACCTTTTAACCATATGATCGTCAAAGTCATCCTCGTCCATGAGGCAGTGCTTATTTGGCCATTCTTTACTTAACTCGTTGGCGTATGAATATGCAAATATTGCATAATGCTCACCTCAAACGCCGCAAGAACTTGTTCATTTCAGCCACGCTGCATGGTGACCACGAAGTCTTTCCATCGCCAACAAAGGGAGACATGATGCAACATTGAGCATTACAACCATTGTCTCCGTCATGCATCATTCCAAGACTAAACGTAGTATATTGGACTGAATAGTATCGTGATGCGTAAGGCACCTGTGACCCATTTCATGAGCAATTACAAAGACACAACCAAAGTCGACACCCTCATTGATAGTACAACTTTTGAATGGGTTGCACATGCCTCCGACTGGAGCGAAGCCTGAGCATCAATAACGTTATGCAAACAGTGGTAAAAATAAGAAAATACCATTGTCGTACCAGCAACTGCCTTCAGTCCATTACTGTATATATCATGCCTGAAGAACACCCTTTGCTAGGATGAATTAAACTGGACCAAGCAGGCTAACCCTGTGAAGAGTATGGCGTGGTCCCAATGACGAGGGTCATTGTCATAGGGAACGTTTTTCTTTTCCTGGTAGTTGCAGAAGGCTTTGAGCAGCAGTTCCGCCTCTCCATGGGCGTGCATATGGTCAGCCAGCTCAGGCTATGGTATTTCAACTTGATTGTGACCCCTAAAAGGTCGTTGGCAAAGTAGTGCTCACCGGAGTCTTCTTCAGCACTTCGTATTTCTTTATCTGCATTCGCAGCTTTGGCACAATGGTGGGATGCCGAAAGAGGGCGTTCACCTGAGAAATTTTGAATTTTCAAAATCCAGTCAACTCATTTGCATAACAGACATTGTGAACGGTGGCTACGACAAAGCTGAGCAATTCTTTGTCCGCTGACTTTTCCCCATAGACTTTGGCGAAACGCTGCCACGTTCTGGCGTCTACGAACAATGCAGTTTCTATGACTAAACTGCTAGCGGACGTAGAAGCGAATTCATCCGGTTTCAATGGACCCGTTTGTAGCCGATTTGGTCTGCTGTCCTTTCGGAGCGATGCTGCAACAGTCCAATAGCGGCGAAAGCTCAGTGGCGCTGATTTATTACTGTCAAAACTATGCAGACACTTATTTTCCACCGGCTGATATATGCTGCCAACGTCTCTTTTACGCAACGTGTGCAAGTCGTCGACGTGACTGCCAAATTCTTGCAGTTTTGCTCGAGTGGTCGGTGGTATCGGCTCAATAAGTAGAAAGCTACCATCAGCCATTGCAAGAAGACCGCGCTAAAAAGAAAAGTAAGTTACTTGAAATTTGAATTTGAAAAGATTTACATAAACTCAGCGTCGTTTGGCCGGACGCCAAGTTTATGCAAATTTGTTCCAAATTTGAGCCTGCTCCGCGTCGCCGAGGTCCGTCTCGATTGGCTCAGCCGGCTGGTCCAATTAAATTGGATCGAACAGACGCTGAGCAGTTCAAATTTGAAAAAATTTGCATAGGCGCAGCCAAAAGAAATTCAATGTGTTACCTTTGAACTATTGCATCCCGCAATGGCAATGCGCATGTTTTTGTCATGCAAGGCGTACCCGTCGTACAAACAAGAGTAGAAATCGTCGTAAAAGACGGACCGATCGGGCAAATGCTTTTTGTTCCATTCGTGAAAATTTTGGTCGAACAAATCGGCCCGTCTTGTCAAAATAAAGTTGTAAATCTTGCCGCGATGTTCCATCGAGGCGTTGATCCATTGACGCTTTCCCTTCGGCATGAGCAGACGAATCAAGTCGAAAGGAGCAACTTCAAAAAAAAACAAATTGTTTATGCAAAGATGTAAAAGTTTGATTTGTGAAAACAAAAGTTGGAACCTTTGCCGGAGGGTTCGAAGGTGAAAAGGTGTTGTCCAAAAGCGGCTTGATCATCAAAGGGGTGAACAAACGGCTCTGTAGCATTGATGGAGAAAGCGGCAAGGAAAAGCAAAAGTAAAAGTGACGAGCCAGCATGCATTGATGTAAAACGACCTGCAGCGTCTGCGTGTAACACCAAGGACGTGTCGTTGTTGATTTGTCACTGGTAAAACAAACGAACTGAAAAACTATGAACTGTTTTACTTAATCGACCGACAAGGTGCATTGCAAAGATCGCCGGATTTGATGATCTTTTAACAAAATGCATTGTCCCGCTTTTTCATGGAGTCACGCGGCAGTAGGCTTTCTTGTAGGTCACAGCAGCTATAAAATCCTTGGATTTAATGATGCACCTTTATTGACCAAATGCTTCTGTCTTTCTGCGGCTTTTGCTTCGCCATAGGCGGCAAGCAATTTTCAACGTTTGTGAAATTGTTAGAGCATCTGGCCTAAAAAATGTTCTGCGGTCGCTATTCCTATTGCTCCACTGACATATTTCCTCGTCGTTACGCACTATTTGTTTCAGAAAGAAAGATGCCAACAGTAGTGTGCCTGCAAGCAAGAAAAGAAAGGGAAAAGAGCTATGACTGCACATGGCACGAGACTGTTACGGTCAACGTAGTTCTTGAGAACTCGTGACGGCCAGACAGTCGTCGTCGTCGTCACGAACGATTTGCCAAATGGGCATTTTGCTTCAGCATAAAGGAGACACTGTCAAAGTACGTAAACCTAAAAATATTAGCAAACCTTAATAAGTTGGTTGCTAAAAATTATTTCAAGATTTGGCGGGAGGCAATAGGGTGCCCACAAGCGTAGTCGCGGTACCTTTTAAAAATGTATTCGCCTTCTTCCAATTTCTATTTTTCTCATGACATTTAAGGGA